GGGATGTCTTAAATTACCTAGATACATATGAAGCGAATAAATAGCACCACTGCAATTGTGCAGTATTGATTCAGGATCTGTGTCTGCTCCTAGTTTCATTACATTCTGATGTACATAGGTGACAGTTATATACGTGCATATACCCATCTGTAAATCTGCATCTGCAAAAGCAATTCCTGGTGAGCTCAGAACTGATAATATCCAGATTTCCCACAAATCCAAACCCAAGGAAATGTTCAGACCTTTCAAGACTTACAGAGCTAAATCCAGACCAAATCAATACAGGAAGGTGCAATGGTACTGTCAGTCCCCGTAATACACGAGGTTCGAAGGGATGCCGGAAAGGATGAGACCACAACTGGGGGTTTTAAAAAGCACAAACTGATTTTATTTTGATGGCGCCGGACAATCATCAGAACAAAAATTAAACAGATTGCCAGACAACACAAAACAATTCCCTGAGGCTTTTCTAAATCACAATAATTTCCAATAACTGCCCAGGGGTTAGGAACAGTTGAATTAACACTGGTATTGTCCATAGGGCTGATTATTTACACAACTTTATACAAGGAAACAGTAAAAAACCTAAACCACAACTATTTATAAACTAACTTAGTAACTTTTTAGCCACTGTCACTTGGCAAGCAATAAGGACAACTAAAAAATCAATTAGGATAGGGATGATGGTGGGGGGAGGGGGTTATACCAGTTCTGGAGACAGCAGGAACACAAGTACCAGTCACATGCTCATAAACTGTCTCCACTCGGGTCGACCAACTCGGAGTACACTCAGTAAGACTCGAGAGCAGGGGGTGCAAGGCATCTGGGTGATCAGGCCAGGCACTCACTCGATGCGAATCCCCAGTGAGAGAGGAGCTGCCTGCCTGTTTTATTGCCTGTGAACTTATCACCCCATAGGTTGGTTTTTGCTGCAGTGGGTGGAGTAGCAGGCCTGAGCACAAGTCAGCCCATTGGCTCATCTTTCACTGCAATGGGTGGAGCGAGCAGGGGAAGATTATTAATTTACATGCCCTTATATGGAAAACACTCCACCTCACAGACAAAGCCCCCTATACAGCCTCAGAGGTATTACAGGCTATGGCTCCCTGCGATGGGCAGCCATTTCTGATGTTCTGTCTTGGACAGGTACAAGCTAAATCCAGACCCAATCAATACAGGGTTGTGCAAATCATGGATTTTTCAGTTCTCTGACAATTCCAAAAAATTGGGGTAAAATTATTTTTGGTCAAACTGAAAAAAAATTAATTTGAAAGTTGAGAAAATATTTTGTTTTGGGACAAATTATTTCATCCAGCCTTCAGTGTAACATTTTGTTTTAATTTATAGTATTTAAAAACAAATTTGAAGGAAATTTCTGAGCAAAGAGTCATTCTGAACCAAAACATTAAAATGTTTTACTTTAAAAAATGACAAAGTAAAACTCTGACTTTGTAAAAATTTTGCTTTGTTTCAACACAAACAACTCAGAGATGTCCACATGCATTTATGAAATATTATGGTGTTGCCAAACCTTCATTTTTCTCATTAACAAATGTTGGTAGAAAAATTTCTCCCAGCTGTACTGGAGGCCTCCGATTCTCAAGTTGGTATCCTATTAGCTACTCTTTCATAAAGACATGGATTTTTGTTTTCATGCAGAGCTCTTCTACTTTTGCAAGTACCACAGGATGCCTGCCTCTAGAGGATCAAACAAATCAAGGAGTCCCAAAGCACAGCTCAGAATAGAGGTTGAGGTAGCAATAGTCAAGAGACAGTCAATGGGCCTACGTTGTTGTTAGCCTAGGCTACTTGTAATGGCTGGCTACAACTCTGGGATGTCCACACCTGCTCAGCATGTAATGAGCTGTCTGCTTTAGCCTGCTGATGAGAGTGATAGGTGGGGCAGTGCCAATGCTTTGGTTTATGGACAGGATCTTGGGCTTTGGCTTGATGATAGAATAATGGTGTGTGGTCCAGGAATAGGAAGTTGATGATGAAACAGCTCCGAGAAACTTTGTAGGATTCTATGGGCTTTGACAGGATTCCAGGGACTTTGTGAGATGCTGTGGATTCTGCAAATTATATCTAACATCTCGGAGACTATTTGAGCTATGTTTCCTACGGCTACTATGTATTATCTCTAGGCCATTCACAGTGGGTATGTCTACACATCACAGTTAATTCGAAATAACAGCCATTATTTCTAATTAACTTTAATAACATCTACACGGGCAAACCACTATTTCAAAATAAATTTGAAATAATGGAGCGCTTATTTTGAATTTGGTAAACCTCATTCTGTGAGGAATAACGCCAAATTCGAAATAGCTAATTCAAAATAAGCACTGTGTAGATGCTTATTTTGAAATAGGGGGCGTCCAGTCCTTCCCAGTTTCCCCTGGTGGCCATTCTGGGCCAAACCAGGAAAACTCCTCTCCTCTCCCGTAGCCCTGGAGGCCTTAAAGGGGTAGACTCTGGCCACAGTGCACGTGCCAGAGCCAGGCCTGCCAGCAGCTGCTGCCCTGACCCAGTGGCCACCACCCAGTCCCCCAGCTCCCAGGAGCCAACCAGGGGCCGGAGACAGCGGGCGCCCTTCTGGACTAGTGCAGAGATCATGGGCCTCATTAGCTTTGAAGGGAGGCCTCCAATGTCCATGATATCCGCACTAGACAGAGGAACGCCGCTGTTTACGGCCGCATAGCTGCCACCATGGTCACCAAAGGCCACATGTGTATCTAGGAGCAGGTGCGCATGAAAATTAAAGCGCTGTGGCAGGCATACACCAGGGCCACACGGGGCAGCTCCCCAACAGAGGCAGACACCTGTCCCTATTTTGACGCCCTGGACCGCATCATGGGGGGCAGGATGGTCCGTGCCTCCCCGGGGGGCAGCGATCCAGGACCGGAGGGCCCTGACTAGGGCGCGGAGGAGGAGCAGCAGGAGCCACCACGCAGGGTGCCACGCCAACCGGACCCCCGAGCTATCCCAGCAGCGGAGTCACCAGGGTTTTCCGGGGAGGCCACACCAGGTAAGTGCCATCACTGTCCCCTTCCCGGGGTGGGGAAGTGGGAGGGAGACCAGGGACCACGCGCATGGGCCTTGCTTACCATGGATCATGCAGCAACCTGTGCACATGCGAGCATGTGCTGTGCCACCCCTGGGCAGGTGGCTCCAGTTGTGTGCCACACAGGGGCTGTGGCCTGATAGCCACACGCATGTGTGAAGAGACCTGACGTGCTCCTGACCCCGGGGTGGGACACAGCAGGATGCCCTCCCTTCACAAGCCCCCTCTACACAGAGGCAGGGGACTAGGGCGCGGAGGAGGAGCAGCAGGAGCCACCACGCAGGGTGCCACGCCAACCGGACCCCCGAGCTATCCCAGCAGCGGAGTCACCAGGGTTTTCCGGGGAGGCCACACCAGGTAAGTGCCATCACTGTCCCCTTCCCGGGGTGGGGAAGTGGGAGGGAGACCAGGGACCACGCGCATGGGCCTTGCTTACCATGGATCATGCAGCAACCTGTGCACATGCGAGCATGTGCTGTGCCACCCCTGGGCAGGTGGCTCCAGTTGTGTGCCACACAGGGGCTGTGGCCTGATAGCCACACGCATGTGTGAAGAGACCTGACGTGCTCCTGACCCCGGGGTGGGACACAGCAGGATGCCCTCCCTTCACAAGCCCCCTCTACACAGAGGCAGGGGACATCTTGCCCCCACCTCGGCCGCACTATACACAGCACAGGGGCATGGGTGCGGTCTCGGGGCAGCTCCCAGCTGGACATTCCAAACATGGCCTCTGGGCAAGCACAGCGGCTCTGACGGTGCAGGGCACAGTCAATCCTCACCTCGCAGAAGGGGGCTGGGCTGCGTCCCCAGGGAGAACTGACCACTTTTCTTCTTTCTCCACAGCCGCACCAGCTGTGCGTGCAGGGCGCACCGCCCAGCCCAGGACATCCTCCCGCACCGGAGGGCTTAGCAGGTCCACCACAACACTGCAGGCCCTGCACCGCACCATGGAGCAGTGGGTGCAGGATGAACAGGGGTTCTGGCGGGAGCTGCTGGCCCATCTGCAGATCCTGGTGCAGACCGTGCTGCCTTGTGCTGCTCCAGCACCTGCTGACTCCCCAGCTCCCACTCCTCCTTCCCCTCCCGCCTCTCCCTCCTCAACCTCCACACCCTCCTCCTCAATCTTCACACCCCCCACCTCAATCTCCACACCCTCCTCCCCATCTCCCTGGGGACGCCAAGGCACCTGTACCTGCCGTGCTGGGAGACCCCCCACCCTTGAGCTTCCCCTCGCCCTTGTTCCCTTTGTGTAGGATATATTGAGGCAGTCCATGGTATCTTGCTGAGAACTGACAAACTCAAATCTCAAATGATTAGGCCAGCCCTGGGAAGCATACAGTACAGCAGTTACTGTGACCCTGGTTCCCCTGGCAACCACATTCCAAAACGGCCTCACTTTGATAAGGCCGGTACCAAACAACCACGTGGGATTGTTTTTTATTGTCTTTGTTCCTAGAAAATAAGCTTGGATCCTAAAGATTACGCCAAGGCAATACCACTCCCACGGGAGACGCATTATATTTCCGGCCGACAAAATGACCATCAACATGCTTTTGTTTATGTTGGCGTATTTAGCTTGTTAGGAATAACTATTTGTATTAGTGATAACATGTTAAATTGGTAATGGGCAGAGATGCTGTGTAACTGTTGTAGACCATTGGCTTATGTGCATATCTCACTTCCACTGCTAGACCTATCAAATTATTTCTCCTCTGTCCATCTGCTACCTATATAATCTAAAGTATGTTTTGGTTAAGTTAGTGCTTATCAGGTTAACCCCTGATGAGTACTCCACCAGCTGTGTGAACCAATAAATCCTCTGCTTGTTTTCACCTGCACCCAGTGTGTCCAAGAATTATTCCCAACTCCTTGCTTCCCCTTTCCAGCTCCCTCCTCCCAGTTTTCCCCCTCCCCTCTCCCACCCTCTCCCACCGCCTTTATTTTTTATTAGTCTCTAAGATGCTACTGGACTACTTTTTTTCCCCTTTGTTAGGACTGTAATTCACCATCACTATCATTGCTCTCCTTGGCACACCTGTGCTAGGTGACACCTTGCAGCAAAATGGCATTCTGCACAAGAGAAAAACACTGAGATAGCGAAACAGTACCTTTTAAAATATCATGATGCTCGTGCTGTAATGAGATGTCTTAATTCTTCAGTCTTATCACTAGAGAAAGGAACTACTCTGCAACCCATTTTTGGGACTATTAAACTTGATTTGCAATAATATCTTCAATTATTTCTTCAATACACTTCAGACACAGAGAGCAAATTGTATATTTGAGACAATTTCCTAATTACTCTCCTCAATGACTCTCTGAATTTGCCATCCAGGGACTCTGAATTATTTTAATAAGGTTTCTCCATCTGATACTGTAGATGGGATAGATGACTTGAGGGTGACAACGTGCTCTGATTTCAATTATTTTGTGCTGAGGGAGCATTTAACTCTCACAGCATCAAATATTTAAGGGACAGTGAATCTCTCATTGAACTATGATATTGGTCGGTCTAACCTTACATAAGATTTAATAACTCCTTTGATGAAGAAACTTCTTCAGTAGTCAAAGATACAGCAGGCGTGCTTCTCCTCCATTTTGTCCCTTACATAGCAATTTATATCGCTATAAAATGAGTGCTAAGGGAATGCAACATGCCAGCAGTAATGTTTAGCAATGTGTAAATGGCAACACCAGGGTATGGAGCAATGACCCAGGATATGTAATTTTGTCTTTTTTTCTCATTTGAGTTGCTTATGTGATGAACTTGAAGAGATGACGTTTTTTGCTTCCACATGGATTTTTCATGGTTCAGCCATATGAGAAAAGAGTGGGGAAGGAAGACACATGCTAGGAAAGGGTAATATAAGAGAAATTAAAAAGTGGTAAAAGTGGCAAAAATAGACTATTTTGAATTACATAATAATGTAAAACATGGTCTCACCGCAAAATCAACAGTCCACACTTCTATTCAACAGTCCTAGGCAAGGCAACCCAAGAGCCAGGGGCAGCTGGGTTCTCATGGGGGTGCTGAGTGCCCTGACAGCTCCTCTTCGCTGTCTGGAAGCATTCCTCTGAGGACCTAAAATAGGTTGACTTAAGATTGTCATGTAGACTTGACTAAGGAAATCCAGAGTTATAAGTATACTTTACTAGCAGTCACTTATCACGTCAAGAATTATTTTTCCCCTGTGGAACTTGAAATCCACATGATTAACTACAGATGACAGGAGACTTCTTTCAGGTGTGATGAAGTTGCATCCCCTCACTACACTGTCTGAATTCACACATCCATCAGCATCTGAAGATTCAATACAAAAATGTCTGAAATTGCTGTTACATTATAATTGGACAAATTAAGACAAAAGAACTGATTGCAGATATGCCTTGCTGCAGAGAATTAATGTATAAGTGAATTGCATTTTACGTAAAAAATGTGCTAGCTCTTGAGGATTATATTTCCTTAGATTTTCTTTCTACATTTTCGCATCAAACCAAGATAATCATCTCCTTAATGTTGAGCAAACTTTTCCATTATCATAGTCAAATACCTAAGGCATGATCTAGACATTCCATTTTGACTCAACAAACGACACTTATTCAGTATTCCCTCTAAGATTTTCCATCCATGAGCTGAGTGAGTTTTGTCTTGTGCACCAATATTGAGGTCATGTGCACTTGTTCAGATGTGTGTCACTGTGGCACCCACCAGTTACTAACAAATGTCTCTCTCGCGCGCATGCAAACACATTCACACAGGAATACAAAGAGCAAACTAAAACAAAAAAATTATAGCCCTGATTTCCAGTATCTTGTTCTACCTTCTAAACCATACTCTCTCCATTTCTCCTTGAAACAGTGTCCCTTAAGGAATGCACTTTTGAATGGTATCACGAAAGGCATTCTTTTTATACAATTTAAAGATAGCTTTTAGCTATCTTGAGTTATAAACAGGCTTGAGACTCTTCTGATTTTAAAACTTTGTTGTTTGTAAAAATGTAAGTCTTATTAAAAACAATCACCAGCAAATCTGAACACAGGATTTCTTTCATTTAACATCAGTGAAATTCATGAAGGGAAGTTCCCTGCGAGCCCCTGGCACAATAGGTCAGTGCCCACTTCTGCCAGCCCCAGGCTGCCCACATCCCACCCTGCTCCTGAGCTGGGAGCTGCAGGCTAGTGTCTTCCCAGCTCTGAGAGTGCAGACCGTCCCGCTACAGTTGGGAGAGCACCTTCTCTGGACTAGGAACTGGCCAGGCCACTCCCTGACACACGGCTCCAGCTCTGGCCCCAGCCTGAGCTGCCCCTGCCCAACACTCAGCAGCCCCAGGCCCGGAACAGCCTCGCTCAACCACATGGCTCCCAGCAGGGACAGCCTCACCATGGCCTGGTTCCAGCTACGGTACACTAGTAGCTGGGCTGCATGGCGTTCCGCCAAGCTGGAACCCACCACTCACTTTCCGGCAGGAAAGTGAATGGTGAGTGCTACTGCACAGCTCTGCAAATGAGGTGGACGGACGCAGAACTTTTTGTGTGCAGCTGTGAAGGCACGCACCTTAGAGGGAACTATGCTACTACTGTATTTTCATAGTAAACATTTTTGTTGGACACATTTCTCTCCTCTCAGTGAGTTATAACTATAACTTTATTCAGAATATTAACAATGTAAAGTTAGTCCAAGTGCATTACACATCAGTTTTATTGTCTGAATCTCTTGCGTGGTTAGGGAAACTCATTTCACAAGGTGGCATGCTTTCTTTTTAAAGAACATATTATTTTGATTAGTTTTTTGTCTCACTTTGTATAAACATCAAGAAAAGTTAATTAACTGGCTGGCTGTACAAGAAGATAGTTAAAGGGAAGCCAAAAGAGTATACAAGCATCTGCAAAGAAATGTAAACTTGGAATGCAGCTGTTTGTATTTTAGATGAAGTATCTATCTTGCACACAATTACAATTTAGTTGTTAGTGCTCCAAGCAGAAATAAATTTTCTGGTGAGGTGAGGCCCATCATTGACTGGACAATTTTGTGTAGATTACACACATACGAAAGTTCAAGAAATGAAACATACATAATATAATCTTTTATTAATGTGCTTGCAAAAAGGAAGTAAAAGACCAGTTTTAAATTTGTAGGATTTCAACTTCAAACACTATTCATTTTACTGAATAATTACCATACATAGTACATTTTAATCAGAAACTCGTAAAGCTTCCATTACTCTTTCTGTAACTTCTTTGAATTATTTTGTGATTTGCAACAGTAAAAATTTTCTTTGCACTAAAATAATAGTTGAATAGGTGACTCGATTTGAATGTTATTAGCAAATATTTTTTATTAATTCTAATCATAATAGTCATGACTTTTTTCCAATGAATAATTATTTAAACTAGTGTTTCTCAAAGTAGTCCATAGACCCACTCTGAGAAAGCTGCTGCCGGGTCACCCCGGTTTGTTTACTTACCAGCTCCGCAGCCACAGAGCCTCACAGCTCCCATTGGCTATGGTTCGCCATTTGAGAAACACTGATTAAAACCTTTTACTCAGCATATTCTGGCATAAAAAGTAGTGCATTCAGCTAATTTAAGTGGCAGGACTGTTTATCTGTAGATAATCCCAAAGTATGACCCTATTTGCACAAACAAATCCACAAACAAACAAACTCTTCAAAATATATAATAGGTATTTTAATGTTCTGCTTTTTAAACTATAATGGGAAAATGTGTTAATAAAGGATAGCTTGAAGAAATGGAAGATAATAAAGTGAAAATGTAATACATCTAATTTGCAGAAAGAAGACAGGAATATGAAGCATTAAATGGGACTAGTATCACTAATACTGTTTTTAAAGGCAAAATATCTGGTCCAAAGTCTCAAGATATTTGTACAAGAAAGTGAGGATGGATTTCATAGAATCACAGAAATGTAGGTCTGAAACTGTGCAATCCAGCCACTTGTGCTGAGGTAGGACTGTAAAAATTAACCATCTATGATAAGTGTTTGTCCATTTTCTTCTTGAAAACTTTCAGTGATGGCGATACTTATTCCAGCATTTATCTACTCCTATAGTTAGAAATATTTTTCTTAATGTCTAACCTAAATCTCCCTTGTTGTGGATTAAGACAATCATTTCTTGTCCTTGGGAAAAATATTAATAAAGGATAAAATGTTTAATACACTATAAGACAGGATCCGCAATTGTGCTATTACAAACCCATGTAGTTTTGAGATTAAATTATCCAAAAAGCCAATAAAGTCCTCTAAGCATGTTTCTAGAAGTGATATTTTTATATTACTCAGCACCTTCATATTTGTTATGTGGCACTCATCTCCCTCTCTGGTGGTAATACACACTTTTGTTTTTGAAATATGCTTATTTGATTAACCTAACACAAAACTATAATGAACAATGCTGAAGCCACCTACCTACAAAGTAATCACTAAATTGATATATACGGAATCTTCTTGGATTATCAGATGTAACTAATCTATCTAGAGAAAAAAGACAATACAACAACTTGACGTTTATTTCTCTAAATATGAACTTTCCCAAAATTAAACAATTATTATTATTTTTTTACTGAGTAAGGAAGCAATGCACAACAAAAGAGGATGGTAGGGAACTGATTAGCTTCTTCATGGAAATGAAATCAATTCTCTGCCCATCACGTACACTTATAATCAGAGGTGAAAGTAACTTAAATGTCTTACGGGTACTGTCATACTGGCTTAGAGCAGCAGGTTGAGGATGTGAGATAGGACAGTACCTGTAAGAAATTTTAAGGGCACATCTTCACTCGTCATCCCAAAGGTTGTTCTCCTGGCGTTTGATTTAGCAGGTCTAGTTAAGACCTGTAAATCGACCACTGAGGGCAGCTCCAGCTGGTGCCTGTACGCCTTGCAGCCATGATGAATAAGGAAAGCTGATGGGAACATTTGCTTCTGTTGGCCTCCTGCTGTGGGGAAGGCACCAAGCTCAGCTTAAGGTAAACCAACTCCAGCTACCAATTTTATGTTGCTGGAGTTGCATACTTTAAACTGACTTTCCAGGTCTAGTGTAGACGTGGCTTAAGTGTGGGGTGGAATCCAAAAGGCTCAGGCCAGGGGATTGCGGTAGATGGGCATGTGGTAGGGGTACAGGAGTCAATACAGAGGGTTGGAGGTGTGGGGGCTCTAGGCAGGTGATTGGGATGTGTGCCTTGACCCCATTTCCCTGGCAGGAATTCGGGGGGAGGAGGGCTCCCCCCACTTGCTCTGGCCCAAGACCCCACAACACAGTAATCTGCTTCTGATAATGGCAAAGCAGAATGCTGCCAAATCTGAGTCCTGAGTTTCCTGGGTTGACAAAAGTTAGGAGTGCTGGACAGATCCATATCAGCCCCTGAAGGGGGAAAGGTGCGACCCTACTGAATGCCAGACAAACACACTTCTAGCCTATGTCACTAAAGAGGATTGCCTTGACATGCAGCATGGGAGGGAAAAGAGAGAGTAAAAGAAGGGAAAACAAGGAGACACCTTTGGAAATAATGAGGTCACTATGCCAAACATAAAGATACAGGACTATGTAGCACTTTAAAGACTAACAAGTTGGTTTATTAGATGATGAGCTTTCGTGGGCCAGACCCACTTCCTCAGATCAAATAGTGGAAAAAAATATATACCAAAGGATACAATTAAAAAAAAATGAACACATATGAACACATATGTGATTTGTCCTTTTCATATGTGTTCATTTTTTTAAATTGTATCCTTTGGTATATATGGTTGTGACTATTTTCTTCCACTATTTGATCTGAGGAAGTGGGTCTGGCCCACAAAAGCTCATCATCTAATAACATATATACGCCTTGGTATATATGGTTGTAACTATTTTTTTCCACTATTTGATCTGAGGAAGTGGGTCTGGCCCACAAAAGCTCGTCATCTAATAAACCATCTTGTTAGTCTTTAAAGTGCTACATAGTCCTGTATTTTGCTTCAGCTACACCAGACTAACACGGCTACATTTCTATCACTATTAAACATAAAGATGTGATTTAGTGACACGAGTTTATATATTAGGATCAAAGAACTTCCAAGTTTTAACTCTGGCTTTGCCTCTGATTTCCTTTGGTGGTCTTGGACAAGTGTCTTAAGCTCTCTGCTCCAGTTTTCCAGTTTTCCAGTTTATAAACAGGGGTGGTAACAGCTATTTACCATACAGGCATGTTGTGAGATTTAATTAAAGTTTGGAAAGTGCTCTGAAGATGGATAGTTCTATATAATTGTTAAGTACTATTGTTATGCAGCTGAGAACTAACTCTTTAGCTGCTAGCACTCCAGCTGTCTTGTTCAGCACCTATTTCCACTTAATGGTTCTATTTTCTTTCAATGCATACATGCACATACCTTTAGCATTACTGGGAATGATGCATGCTCATCTAGGGGAGAAAAGACTTGTACAGTTTTTCTTTCTTTGCTTATCAGAAATTCTAACTCAGTAACACTGGCTTATTCTCTGGCCAATGTGCTTGCATTGGATTACTTTTACATTTTCATCATATGAATGTGTTAAGATAATAATCCCTTTTACATGGCAGTATCAAGCATTGAAACAAGCCACAGAGAGCAAAGTCTGCTAAAAATAAAGAACAATTGTCTATAAATTCCTTGTCTTTCCTCCTGTTTACCTCTTTATCAGACCAATCGTGCAGATCAGAAGCATAAAACATGTTGACTTCATCAGTCTGATCAGTACAATTTCTAAGCTGTTTTAAAAACTAATCTATTATGAATTACAACAATGTATGCTTATCAGAATAAAACATGGATTCTAAAAGACCACGAGAGAACATTTTAAGAAACATGGCCAAGCAATGTTATTAGTGCTCTTATAACTATTAATGCAATCAATGTTCTTGTGTAGAAGTGTGAAATAATGTCAATGTCAAAAAACAAATATATGTCTAGCTACTCCCACATGTTACTGCCCATGTCAATCAAAGGAAGTACTGTCAACTCTGTTGATCAAATTATGTTGCATATTGTATGGTCCATGTCATTGAACACTAAAGTAAAGTAACATGTAATGCAGAGAAAACTATATGCTTAAATACTGTGAGCACCTTGAAAAAGTTCCACTGGTTTGAAAGAGTCTACCTGATCTAAAGGATTTTCCCATTTTAAAAGCAGGGAATATGGCCAGTCCGACAAAGAATCATAGAATTGTATGAATGGAAGGGACCACAGGAGATCATCTAGTCCAGTGGTTCCCAACCTTTTAGATACTGGAGACCAGAAAACCCATTCACAAACTTTTGGCAGATCAGCAACATTTTATTGGCATATTTGCATATTCGTTATACAAATGATGAATATGCAAATAAAAAATTACCGGTCCTAACCTCTAGAGCCCTCCCACTCCTCTACTACCCCCACCCCCGCACCAGCCACTGACCCCAGAGTGCCCTGCACCTCCCCAGTGCCAGCCTCCCATCCTCAGAGCCCCCCCCGTGCCAGCCCTGTTAAAGCCCACCACCACCAGACCTCTCAGCACCAGTCTCCTGTTTCCAGAGCCCCACTGCACCCAACCCTCCCAGCTCACCACCCTCCAGGCCAGGCCAGTCCAGAGAGGTTACTCACCTTTGGTGCAGTAACAATGGTTCTTCGAGGTGTGTCCCCGTGGGTGCGCCATGTTTGGTGTCGGGCTGGTCCCGGCACCGCGAATCGGAGCTTGCCAGAGCTGTTATCAACCGGGTCGCGCGTGCGCGAGCAGCTTTTGCGCCTTTGAACAGTCGCGCGTGACCCGGTCCCCGCCAGTTCCTCTCACTGCCCATCTGCAAGAGATAATTTAATGAGATTCCGTAGCGGGGAGGAGGGCGGGTCGTGGAGCACACATGGGGACACACCTCGAAGAACCATCGTTACTGCACCGAAGATGAGTAACCTCTCTTTCTTCTTTGGGTAGTCCCCCTGGGTGCTCCACGTTTGGTGACTCCGGAGCAGTAATCCACTAGATGTGGGCTACGGAATCACAATTCTGATGGTTTGGCAGCACTGCTGAGGCCAGGGCTGAATCGCTGCACGATCGCATAATGCCTGGAGAAAGTCGTGTTGGAGGACCAAGTAGCTGCGCGGCATATGTCACGTAGAGGGACTCCTCTGACAAAGGCCGTTGACGTAGCCATTGCCCGCGTAGAGTGGGCTCTGGGCTGTGATAGAAGTGGCTTCTTACAAATGTCGTAGCAGGTCGTAATACAAGAGACGACGAGCTTCGAAATGCGTTGGGCAGATAAGGCCTGGCCCTTGGAATGCCCTGAGGTGGAAACAATAAGACGGTCCGTTTTCCTAATATCACGGGTTCTATCTATATAGAATACTAGTGCCCGACGGGCATCCAGAGTGTGCAGGAGAGCGTGATGCCGCGACGTGTGAGGTTCTGGATAAAAGCATGGTAGAACGATTGGCTCGTTGATATGAAACTCAGTGCAGACCTTTGGTAGAAAAGCTGGATGAGATCTCAATGTTACAGCGTCCTTAGTAAAAACTGTATAAGGGGGTGATGACATCAGTGCTGCGAGCTCACTCACCCTGCGTGCCGATGTTATAGCGAGGAGAAAGAGTACTTTCATTGTAAGGACGGGCATCAGTACAGTTGCTAGGGGTTCGAACGGTGGTCGTGTTAAGACATCTAAGACCAGGTCAAGACTCCATGCAGGTGGCGGGGGTCTGTATGGTAGGTTGAGGTTAATGAGACCCTTAAAGAATCTTGTCATCATGGGATGGAAAAACACTGACTTCCCTTCGATGTGGTGGTGGAAGGCTGCAATTGCTGCTGCATGAACTCTAAGCGATGATATGGACAGACCAGTAGCCTGCAGCTGGAGAATATATTCGAGTACGACATTCAGTGGTGAGATAAGAGGATCCAGGTCCTTAGGAGCGTGCCAGCGTGTGAATCTCGACCATTTAGATAGGTAGGTCTTTCTGGTAGAGTCTTTCCTGCTATATAGCAAGATGCCCTTTACCTGATCTGAGCAAAGCATCTTGGACGTGCTGAACCATCTACCATCCAGGCTGTTAGGTGTAGGGTGTCCAGCTTTGGATGAAGAAGGAAGCTGTCCCGTTGCGACAGCAGGTCTGGTAGGTGAGGAAATCGGTGCGGTGAATGCGTCGACAGCTGCAGGAGGGTTGAATACCACGGCTGTCTGGGCCAAGCAGGGGCTATGAGCAGCACTCGTGCCTTGTCTATGACAATCTTCTCTAGTACCCTGGGAATGAGTACAACAGGGGGGAATGCATATAACAGTGATGGTCCCCAGTGACGAAGAAACGCATCTCCCAGGGAGTGAACGCCCACTCCTGCTCTGGAGCAGTAAGCTCTGCATTTCGCATTGGTGCGCGTGGCAAAGAGATCTACCGCCGGGTGACCCCAGTGGTGGAAAAGAGGTAGGAGGACGTCCGTGCGAATTTCCCACTTGTGGTCTTGGTAAAAATGTCTGCTCAGTGCATCTGCGATGGTGTTGTTCGCCCCGGGTAAATATGAAGCCACGAGAAAGATGTCGTTTTGAATGCACCACTTCCATAAGCGAACCACCTCTGCACAAAGAGACCAGTAGTGAGCACCCCCTTGCCTGTTCACATAGTACATCGTAACGATGTTGTCTGTGAGAATTCTTGTCGTTGTGCCTTTTATGTGCCTCTTGAACTGCCTGCATGCATGAAATACCGCTCACAGCTCGAGAAGGTTGATATGCAGCAGCATCTCCACCGAGGACCAGCGGCCTTGGGCCTTTTCGGTGCCCATGTGAGCACCCCATCCCATGAGAGACGCGTCTGTGGTTATCTCTCTTAATGTTTGCGCCGCGTGGAACGGGACTCCTGATAGCATGTTGCTGGGGTCGGTCCACCAGTGCAAGGATTCCTTGACCCGTGCGGGAAGCGCCACGGCCTTGAGAATACTGTGTCTGATGGGATTGTATACCGCGGTCAGCCAATGTTGCAGGCACCACACATGTAGTCTTGCGTGCCGCACGATGATCGTAGTAGCTGCCATATGACCCAAGAGCTGTAGGTATACACGGATTGGTATTATTGGGGACTGCAAGATTGTTCTTACTAAGTCTTTTATGGCTTAGAAACGCTCGACCGGTAGATGCGCTCGCTCCTCGAGGGAGTTCAGCCGAGCTGCTATAAAAGTAAGGGTCTGTGTCAGTTGTAGTCGGGATTTCTCCATGTTTACAACAAGGCCAAGAGATTCGAACAGAGCCCGAGTGACCGTCACCATGTGGGAGGTCTCTGCATAAGTGTGACCTTTGATCAGGCAGTCATCTAGATAGGGGAAAATTGTGACTCCTGTTCTGCGTAGGTCGGCCACTACGACTGCCAGCGTTTTGGAAAACACTCTCAGTGCCGAGACAAGGCCGAATGGGAGTACTTTGAACTGGAGATGGTCGTCCCCTACCACAAAGCGTAGAAATCGTCTGTGTGCTACATGTATTGAGATATGAAAGTATGCGTCCTGTAGATCTAGGACTGCGAACCAGTCTCCTTTGTTTAGTGCTGGTATGATCTTGACCAGCGTGGTCATTTTGAAGTGCTGCTTGCGGATGAAACGATTTAGACCTCTTAGGTCGAGAATCGGCCTCCAGCCCCCTGACTTTTTGGGAACCAGGAAGTACCTGGAGTAAAAACCTTTTCCCCGAAACTCCCTTGGGACTCGTTCTATGGCACCTATGCTTAGAAGGTGGAGGACTTCTTTCCGAAGAACGGTCCTGTGAGATGGGTCCACGACACGGGCCGGAGTGGAAGGAGTATTGGGGGGAAGTGAAGTAAACAGAATCGAGAGGCCTGATGCTATCAGCTCTAAGACCCATCGGTCCGACGTAATGCTGGCCCACTGATGTAGGAAGGGCTTCAGCCGATGATTGAATATGCTGGAAACAGGCTTTTGTGTGATGACCACTGGAGGCGTGTTTGAGTCCTTGGCACAGGAGTCAAACCTGCTGCCTAGAAGCAGGCCGGGCTGGTGGGCGATTCTGTTGTTGGCGTTTGCGTTGCGGATGCTGTCGGAATTTGGGCTGTTCAGGTCCACGTTGCTGTTGCTTATATGATGAATAATCGTACCTCCTTTGGAATGGGTAGTATCTCCTTTGCCTGAAGGGCGGCGTGTACATACCCAAAGTTCTGAGGGTAGTACGTGAGTCCTTCCCCGAGTGTAGAATCTCGTCGGTCGTGGAGGCAAACAGCTTTTGCCTATCGAAGGGCAAATCCTCGACTTTGGTCAGCTTTTAGAAGGGGTCTCTTGCTGTCCGGAAGGTGTTGCATGAGTTCAGGGAGCTTGGAATAGTTGTCAAAATTATGGTTTGATAGGAGTGCAGCATAGTTAGCAATTCGGAGGAGTAAGGTTGAGGAAGAATAGACCTTACGTCCGAATAAATCTAGTTTCTTAGAGTCCCTGTCCGGAAGGGAGTTCCTGAAGTGAGGAGTCTTTGCCTTATGGCGGACTGCGTCGACGATCAACGAATTAGGCTGGGGGTGATTAAAAAGAAAGTCCAGTCCTTTGGATGGTACGAAGTACTTCTTATCCACTCTTTTGTTAGTAGGTGGTACTGATGTTGGCGTTTGCCAAATCTCTTCGGCCACCTCCATAATGGCTTCATCTATCGGTAGGGCAATCTTCCACTGCTGCTTCGGGTGTAAATTTTTGAACACTTTATGTTGCTTTCCCTGGGTCTCAGTAAATTGTACCTCTTTTGCCAAATCTTCGGCCACCTCCATAATGGCTTCATCTATCGGTAGGGCAATCTTCCACTGCTGCTTCGGGTGTAAATTTTTGAACACTCTATGTTGCTTTCCCTGGGTCTCAGTAAATTGTACCTCTTGGGATTGTGCTACACGTCTAAAAAGATCTTGGAACTCCTTGAAGGTCATCAGGGGGTGACGTTTCAGCCGGAGTTACAGCTTCATCTGGCGAAGGTACGGAGGAGTTAGCATTAGGTGACCTGTCTGGTTCTGACTCAGAAAGTTGTCCCTCCTCCGGGTCTGATTGCTGCGATCGAGGGGTCAGGGATCGTGGAGGCAATGCAGGCCTGAGCGAGGACTGCTCTTGCGGTCTGGAGTGTGTGGAACATGGGCTGATCGACTGGCAGGAGCATGGTGACCTAATGCGAGATCGCGACCGGCTATAGCGAGAGAATTCGCCATAGTAGCGAGTCATGTCGGTCAGAGGCTGCAGGTGACGAGTGTCTAGAAGACCTAGCGCTGCTGTGCCTGACATAGTACGTGCGCCGCGGTGAGTGCATAGAGGAATGTCTGGAAGGAGATTGAGATATGGAACACCTGTGATGCGAACAGCTACGCTCCCTATGGTAGGGTATGTCTACACTACAACGCTAGTTCGAACTAACGCGTCTAGAACTAAAAACTAGTTCAAATTAGTGTTTTGCTAATTCGAACTAGCAAGTCCACATTGAGTGGACTCTGAACAGGGCTTAAGGATGGCCGGAAGCAGTGCCGGCAGGGCATC